TCCCCCCTCCCCTTGAGGGTGTCACTGTAGAGTATGTTGATAGGGGTTTTGGCTTTTCTGCTGCAGCCCTGTGCACTTTTATCGGGCTGTGCAGTTCAACCTGCAGACCACTAGGTGGCACTTACAAATAAGAGCTGGCTGTGGCATAAGCCCATGGATGTGTATTTGATCTTTGTTCACTAAGGTGCTCTCTATAGTTTCAGGTGACAGGCTGGATAGTGGAATGCCAGGTGCCCTGAGCTTCCTATTCAGAATGCGTTGGGGGAGTGGAAGAGAGGATGCAGCTGGGCAGAGGTGGACCCCCTGGCTTTCCCACAAACACCCCCAATGATAAGCACAGGCACCAGCCCTGATGGGGGTGGCTGGGGGAGCTCCTGATGAAATGCACAGAGGTCTCTGTGGTTGATGAGGGGGCTGCACTGGCTCCATGTCCTAGATAGGCAGGAATGCAATCAGCTTCCCTATCACACCCCTGTTCTGGGGCTGGTGTTTCTCAGTACAGATGCACACTGTGGTCTATCTCCAGGCCACAGTGTGGCTGAGAGACCTGAAAAATGCCTGTCCTGTGTGCCTCTCTGCAGGAATGGCTTCAGGGTAGAAGATCTTCACTCAGCCCAATGCAGGCAGTTGTATGGCGCGCCGGTTCTCCAATGTGGTGATGTTCTCCATGTGGTAATGCCGCTGCCTCATGGGGAGACGGGGAACAGCTCTGCCTATCAGCCATGTGGGTGGGAGTCATCATGGTGGTGTTGGCTGCTTGGGTGGGCCCAAACTCAGGCCCAAGGAGGAGTCAGGTGCCAACGATGTTGGACTGGGCTAGGTAATTCCCAAACTCCCACACTTCTCAACGACCCACTAGATGGCATGTAGAAGTCCTGATGTGGCTGGACCAGGATCCAGCCAGCCCAGAGTTCAGGTGCTGGCTGTGATAGGGAGGGGTGAGCTGGTCCCCTGGAGCCTGAGAACAGATCACAGGACTCTGGGGGCTGGGCATTCCGAAGGGCTCCAGGCCACAGCTGCAGTGTTCAGGCATAGCAGGGTGGCTGTGCTGTGCACCTTTCACTCAGGAAGGCAGGACCCTTCAGCTGGGGCAATGAGCAATGGCAGTTGTTGGGCTCATGGCCCACTCGCACTTCTCTCCCAAAGCTGGATTTTGCTGTTAGGAGCTCAGGAAGGTACTTGAACTTCCTGCTCCCTCCCTGGCCTGGGGCAGCAGAGGCAAGCCTGTGGTGGAAAGGGTTAATGGGCAGCCTCTGGGGGTTGGGATCTCAGAGGAACACTGAGCTGTGGCTGTCATGCTCAGGCAGGGGTGGGTGGTGGCACTGGCAGCCTGTCACCAAAGCAGGCAAGTCCCATTTGGCAGAGAGGAGCAGCAGAGGGAAGCCATGCAGAGCATCGTCTACCCACTCCTCCTTACCACAGCTGCAGTATCTGTCTTTGGGGCACACAAAAGTGCCCAGTTCCCCTCTGTGGCGGGCAGCAGCCATAAATCTGCACCGGGCAGATCAGGGATGAAAAGACTGTGGGATCCATGTAGGCTTGAACAGTGCCTCTGCACCGTCTCCAGCAGGCTCCCTGTGTTCATCTGGAGGCCCGGGGGCTCCCTGTGGCTAGGATTGCAAAGGTCCATGGTGGAGGTGTGAAATTTCAGGGTTCTCTCTCTCACCTCTTCCCTGTGTTACGGAGCCCTTTGTGGCTCCTTGGGGGTCCCAGCTCGGCAGGCTTCCCTCTCCTCTGCTGTCTGTGATTCTCATCACCTCTCTGGTGAATTTCAGCGTGCTCTCTTAGAGGATCTCTTTGAAGTGTTAGTATTTACTATTTTGGTGCCTGAGAGGCACCCACTAGCTGCTTCTAGCCTGGGCTGTCTTTATTCCACTGCCCCCTCCTCTGGAGGAGCAGGATACTTTTAGAAAACAAGTCTCACGTCAGAGCTGCCCAAAACAGAAGTGCACGAAAGGGAACATGGCAGGCAATTTTTATTCCTTATTTTGGACCGGAACTATAAGAACACACATTTCTGAGAGTCCATTGGATGTCACGTAAAGCACCCCTGTAGAGCTGGAAAGAGCCAGAGCAAGTGAGGCTATGAGTAGCCCCACATGGAACAACAAAGCTCACACGAAGCCAGGGCACTTCTCACCCCTGGGATGGCACAGAGAAGGTCCAGGCCTCCAGGGGCACTGCAGGCCTCCATTGGTCATTCAGGGACCTCAATATGCAGGGGAAGCTCTGCCAGGCAAGAGCATTCTTTTGAGATCAGTTTCTAATCAGCCAGACAGAAGGAACAGGGCTAGGCTGGGTGACAGGCATGTGCACCTGCCACTGCCATGAGCTCAGACACAGCCTGCTGAGCTGCAGGGGAGGCTGCAATTTAGTAGCTGTGCATCCAAGAAGGAGTTGGGGATAGATTTGTGACCAGTGCCCAGTCCCTGCTAGGGTGCCAATCACTGAGGGCAAGGACCCTGGAGCTTAAGCTCTCCTACTGGTTTCCCCAACCTACTAGGGAAGTCTCCCTTGATGGCAAGACCCTGGTGGGACTTTTGGAGGCAAATGTGCACACCTGGTCTGCACATCTGTATTAGCTGAACCTCTTATAGAGGCTTAGAAACAGACTGGAGAGGAAAATGTACATGTAGAAGGTTTATTTTGTTAGGGAGTCCTCTGGGGAGCACCACGGTGAGGGAGAGAATAAAGGCAGGAACCAGACCCACATAGGATGTGCTACAGCGAACATCTCCAATCAATGGGAAAATAAATGGCTATTCATTTGCAGGAAAGTGTATTTTAAGGCACCTTTCCTGGGGTCCTGAAACTCCAACTGTCAACCCATAAGCCCCAGCAAAGAGGCATGGAGGTGATTGGGACAGGGATTGCCTAGCGACAAGGTGAGCCCTTAGATACCCCACCCCGCACCCACCACCAGGGGCTCGAGCCTCCGTGAGAGGAGGCATCAGGTGGGTCGAAGTGTAGGAAAGTGTAGGAGGGCTGGGCTGGGCTTTAGCAGCTGAGTCTTCTGACTGTAGCCCAGAGCCCTGCGCGCTTCCCCGGGTTGCCCCCTTCCGCAGTCGGGAGCTGAACCACCAGGCCCTCCCAGATGGCTGCTTCACGGTGAAGCTGCCTTAGTGCAGCACTCTAATCATTTATCATTAAAGTGGGCACAGCCAGAACTCCCAGAGTTCAATGGGGCCTTGATACATCCTAAGCGTCTACTCTGTGCTAGACCCTTGGTCCTAGGAGGTGGGGACGTCACATCAGAACACTGGGGAGTTTTGTCAACTTTGTTTTATCCTCCTTGGGGATGTGCTGCTGATCGCTACTGGTGAATTGTTTTAGACTCACTAACATTTTGTGAGCTTGGCTTGCTTTCTTCACATTGGATAGATTAGGAAACTACAGGTCTGAGAATGTAAAGCAACTTGCTTAACATCCCACAACTTTTATGTGGAAGAACCAGGAGTCAATGCAGCGCAGCTGTCTGCAGAGGTGTACTGGGCACTCCATTCCTGTCCGTAAGTGTGGAACCTGCAGCCAGGAGTGGGGATATGGGGGAAGTATCCACCCACCTCTCACGGAGGCTCACAGCCTAGAGCATGTCCCCAGCCTCCTGCCAGGTCATCACTGGAGCCTGAAGGAACCCCTCCACTTGGCTGGCCAGTGGACCCAGCTCTGGGCTGGGGCGAGGCTCCCTCACCACTGCTGGTTGGGTGGACTGTCCTCCTGGCTGGCCTGGACTATCCCTGAGCTTGCTGCTCAGCCCCTCCCTCCAATCCCTCAGCTCAGGTCTCCAAGCCTGGGCTAGTGGCTTGGGCTCTTTGAAGCCAGGAGCCTCCCCTAGACTCCCACCAGGCGTGGCTGCAGGACTCCTCTGCGTGCACACATATACAACCACACATCCATAAGCCTGTGTTGAAGCTTGTGGGCCTACACAAAGCTGTGGTCTTCATGCAGTTCCCCTGACCCCTTTTGTGAACACTAGAATTCCCTGAGTAGGCTCAGCATGTAGAGGGAGACAGAGGGGCAGAAGGGAACTCCATGTCTCACCAGGATTCCCTGAGTAGGCTCAGCATGTAGAGGGAGACAGAGAGGCAGAAGGGAACTCTGTGTCTCAAGCACTGCCTAGTGTTTCTGCCTGTGCTGTGCTGGGTGATTTGCATACCTGGTCAGGTAATCTATTGAAACATTCATTCTGTTTTGTGTCCTCCCTCTCTGTTTCTCTTTTTTTTTAATGGCATTGAGATTTTTATTAACCTACCTTCCTGCTTTATTTTAACATTATAAACATTATAAGCCGAATTATTCTCTTTTTGACCCAGGGTTGTGATAGGAACTGTCTTGTTACAAAGTGGTAGCCAATCTGTGCCTGCTTTGTATGCTTTTCTGGCCCCTCTCAACCTCTGGCTGTCACTTCTCTGTTCTTTCTGTTTTCCTTAACAGTGTATTCTAATTCCTGTAAAACAGGGACTGAAAGTACCAACCTCTTTGTCATGAGATTTAAGAGAAGGCCCAGCACTAAGCCAAGCTCTCAGGAAAATTGAAACAGTTCCTCCTTGCCCTTCAGTACAGCTCCTTCTCGTCTGTCAGGGGCTGAAGAATGACTGAACCTATAAACCAAGCACACGGTGTAAGTCCACAGACCAGGGGAAGGCCTAGATGGTAAAGTACGTGGGCTTTGTGACTCCACTGCTGACATCCAGGCTAAGGGAGGACTGACTTAGTGAGCAGTTACAAGACCACTGAGCTCACGGTTCCCTGTGGCTGTCTCCCTCGTATCTCCGCCATGACCAGGGCTTGAGGAGGGGCCTCTCAGTTCCCCTGACACACCTGGAATAGTATGAGGGTGCAGCAGAAGCCAAAAACGGAGTGACCAGCCCTGGGGAGTCGATGGGGGACGCTGACCAACCAGTCACTAAGTTGGTGCTATTTGCTCTTGAGAAGGAGAGGCAGGGCCTGGGCAAGAACAGCAGCTGGAAGGTGAAATGCAGGCCTGGCTCTCAGTAGCATCAATGATCAGCCTTGAAGGGGCCATCAGGGGAGATGCTCCAGGTACTGGGCCTGCTTCTCAGTCAGCTTGGTCAGTTTCGTGCTCAGCTTGCCCAGGTGGGCTTCAGCCACTGCCTCATCCAGCGTCTTGGGCAGGACGTGAACCCCGATGGGGTACTTCTCTGGGTGGGTTCACAGCTCAATCTGTGCAGTCACCTGGTTGATGAAGGAGTCACTCGTCTCAAAGCCAGGGTGACCCATGACACAACCCAGACTGACCAGCTGACCCTCAGCCAGCAGGATGGTGCGGCGTCCATTCTTCAGCGAGTACCTGGTCACCTGGGGCTTGATGGTCACCTTCTCCCAATGTTCTCGCTGAGCCATTTGACATCGATCTCCACATCAAAGTGTCCAGTGTTACACATGATGGCTTCATCCTTCACCTGTTCAAAGTGCTGGCCAAGGACGATGTTGACACAGCCTGTGGTGGTGGTAAAGGTGTTGCCCTCCTGACAGGCTTCGTCCATGGTGGTCCCTTCATAGCCCTCCATGGCAGCCTGCAGTGCGTTGATGGGGTCGATCTTGGTGATGACGTGGGCCCCGAAACCCCACAGGGCATGGGCACAGCTCTTGCCCATGTTGCCATAGCCTGCTATGACCGCTACCTTGCCGGCAATCATCACCTCTGTGGCCCACTTGATGCCATCTATGAGGGACTCCCAGCAGCCATAGAGCTTGTTGAACTTGCTCTTGGTGATGGAGTTGTTGTCATTGGCACCTTCAGGATCCCACTGACCAGCATCCTGTGTGGGTTGTGGACCCCAGTCTTGGTTTCCTTGGAAGTGCCTCAGATGGCCCAGCAAGAGCTGTGAGTATTTGGTGTGGAAGAGGTTGGCGAAGTCACCCCCATCCTCCAGAATAATGTTGAGGGCCCGTCCTTGAATTATAGTGACTGCTCGATGCACCACAAGTACTCCTTGTCCTTTCGCCCTTCCAGGCATATACTGGAATGCCAGACTTGGCAATGGCAGTCAACACATGGTTCTGGGTGAGGAAGATGTTGCTGCTAGGGCACCCAGGGTGATGAGGGTCTCAATGTGGATGGCCATCTCCATGGTCATGTGCAAGCAGCTGGCGATGCGGGTGCCTTTGGAGCCTGGAAGCCTCGTGGCTTGGAGGCCTAGTACAGCTCCCGCATGTGCATCAGGCCTGGCATCTCCTTCTTCACAATGTTCAGGGCCTTGCATCCCCAGGCGGCCAGGCCAATGTCAATAACTTTGCAGGGCAGTTTGTCAGACAGGCTGGCGGCGCTTATGATGGAGACAGGTGAAGGGGACTGGGCCTTGGTCTGGGGACAGGCACTGGGTGGGTGGGTGGCTCTGGGCAGGGTCTCTTTCTCTCTCTGTATGTATACGTGTGTGTGTGTGTGTGTGTGTGTGTGTGTTTTCTATTTTACATTTCAAACAGATGGCCAGGCCCTTGGTATTGCAGAGTTGCCCACAGTGTGTATTAGCCAGGGTTATCCAGAGAAATAGAACCAACAGGATATATATGGGTATATGTAAGAGCAGATTTATTATAGGAATTGCCCTATGTGGTTATGGAGACCGAGAAGTCCCACGGTTTGCTATCTGCAAGCTAGAGAAACAAGAATGTCAGTGGTGTGACTCAGTCTGAGTCCGAAGGCCCAAGAATTAGAGGGGTGGGGGTGGGGCAATGGTGTAAGTCCAAATGCTATGATCTGAAAGTTAGTGTCCCCTAAAGATTCATATGCAGAAATCCTAAACCCCAAGGGATGGTATGAGGAAGTGGGAGTATGGGGAGGTGATTAGGTCACCAGGACGGAGCCTCATGGATGGAATTAGTGCCTTTATAAAAGAGGCCCCAGAGGGCTGCCTCCCTCCTTCCATGATGGGAGGACACAGGAGACATTGTTGGCCAAAAGATGCTAACGATGAACCAGAGAGCTGACTCTCACCAGAAACCCAATCTGCCTTGACTTAACTATCAAGAATTCCATTTTTAAATTATGAATCTTTTAGATGAACCACAAACCTTGCAAAAATTTTACAGACCACTTGAGAATATGGCCCCAGCTTGGGGAGTTCACTTCTATCAGCTGGAGAATTTCCGTGGAAAGTGTAAGAAAGCCTGCCTTAGGATCTGTATGGGAGATCCCAGCCTGAGCCTGGCTACAGGCTGTGCAGAGGCAGGACCCAAGAGGAGACCAGAAGGACAGGGCTGTAGTGACTGTAGGTTGCCAGCTCATGATCACAAGAGCAGCCAGGTCTTAGCAGGACCAGACATTGGAAAACCCACAGGACCCCTGCTTGGGGTATCCTTCAGTTTTCCCTGCTCCCTGGGCCATGTGGCCTCAGTTCTGCCCCTCCTCTCCCTCCACATCTGCTCCCTTCTCCCCACCTCTGCCTCTCTGTGTACTTGGCTGTTGCGAGTAGCCCTGCAGTCTGTGGTTGCTCGTCTTCTCTTCAGAGACCCCATGGCCACGTTGCTGGGGTGAGATTCTGATCCCATAGTCTGGGCCAAGCTGTGCATGCCTGATCTGACCACCAAGGTTATACCATATAATCAGGGCTGCTGCTGGACCCTGCACGGGGTATGGGGAAGTTTGAGGGTGTGGCAATGGCTTTAGCAGGTGCCCCCAAAGTTGTCCCCAGCATGTGGAGGAGCCTGCCCATCTGTCTCCCCATGAGTGGCCCCTGTCACCTTGCTTCCTTCACTCCTGCTCCCGATGCTTCCATGAAGCTGAGACACATGAGCAAGTGAGCATCCCTCTGCCACCCTCACTGCCCTAGCACCGCCCCTTCCATCAGGCCCCACTCCCACCTGCTGCCTGCAGCCTACCCGGTGAGCTCAGCTCAGAGACCAGGGCTGGGCCTGGGCAGAGGGGATGAGGGAGTCCCATACCTTATGTGCAGGAAACGTGGGTCTGGGCTGTTAACAGCAAAGCCTTTGTATTTGTCCACTAGGCTGTTAACAGCAAAGCCATTGTATTTGTCCACTAGGGGCCAGAACAAAGTTCCACACACTGAGTGACAAAAAACAGACACTTTTCCTGAGAATTCTGCAGGCTGCAAGTCCAAGGTCAAGGTGTGGGGGTCGTTTCCTCTGGGTCTCATGGAGCCGGGTTTGCTGACGGCCGCCTTCCTCCTGTGTCCTCCCATGCTGTTCCCTCTGCGCATGTCTGTTTCCTAAACTGTTCCTGTGAGGACACCAGTCGTACTGGACTAGGGCGCACCCTAATGACCTTGTTTAACCTTTACAAATCCTCTCCAAACATAGTACAGCTGCATCCTGAGGAACCAGGGGTCAGGACTTTAGTATATAAATTTTGGGAAGGACACAATTCAGTGCATCTCTCTGGATTGTATCTCAGTCTCAGGGCTGGCATTTCTCTCTGGGCTCTGCCCGGGGCTCCCCACACTATGGTTCCTTTGAGGGAGCCCATCTCAGCTCACCTTCATAACTGGACCTTGGCTAGACCCTTTTGGAAGGGGCCCGCTCCCACCTCCAGACTCATTGTCCCCAGACACCCACATGTGGCTTGGTGTGGGCACACCTCTATGTGCACATATGTGGGGAGTGGCTCAGCTTCTGAGAATGCCACCAGTGAGGGCGCCTTGGTCCTGGTCCACCGGACAGGGCTCCCAGAAGGGTAGCGAGCCTGGGTGCGCAAAGGCCTGGAATGGGCCCTTCATCAGTCCCGGGGCACGGAGACAGCTTCCATCTTCCTCTCTGGAGGGCGTCTCACAGCGCCATGAGCAGGACGGCTCCCAGTTCTGGGGGCAGCTCTGGGCAGTGGCTATGTGCCCCGGGCACGGCTGCCTCCCCTGGCCCAGCTGGTCCAGCTTATTCTTACCAACCCCAGCCCACATCTCCAGGAACACCTGGGGATGCTATGTGCTTAGAACGAAGGGCACTGGACCGGGGGTCAGGACAACGAGTGCTTCGCATCACAGGACGTTCTTGTCTATTACCTCCAAGGTGGCACTGGATGGGAAAACAAATCAGTCCCCACCCAGGGTGTTATTCCTTCAGGGCTCCAGGAGCCATGGGGGTTCTGGGAGTCCCATGGGAGCCTTCCTGAGATGAAGGGGCTGGTCCTGGAGGTAGGATGTGTTTGCTGAATGGTGGGAAGGAGACAGCCGGTCAGGAGGTGGCATGGGGAGGGTGGTGCTGGGGAAACATTCCTGGCAGGACCCCAGGGTGGGCAAATCCTGGAGTGGCAAAAGTTAACCTCTGCCCAGGAGGATTCCTCCTTCTCTGGGCAGCCAACGTCTCCTGGGGGCCCACAGGAGAGCAGGAACCCGCAAGCCCAAGAGACCTGGGGGTCGCAACTGTGCTTCCCACAAAAGGTGTGTTTTGGGCAAATTGTCTCAACCCTGGGCCTCCGTTTCTTATTCTCATACACTGAACCCATCCCTACTTCTCAGGAGTGATTAAGAGGTGTCTAGACATGACTATTCCAGTGAAGGGAGGCTGCTGTCACTCTGCGTCCTCTGCTGAGCTCCCCATTGTGTCAATTGTGTACAGGCTGCACAATAAATGGAAGAGACACAATCTTTTTGATGTGATCAAGGTCTAGTAAAAACAGTGGAGAAACCCCATGTCCTCTAAAAATACAAAATTAGCTGGGCATGGTGGCTCATGCCTGTAATCCCAGCTACTAAGGAGGCTGAGGCAGGAGAGTCACTTGAACCTGGGAGGTGGGTGTTGCAGTGAGCCAGGATCATGGCATTGCACTCCAGCCTGGACAACAAAAGCAAAACTTCATCTCAAAAAAAAAAAGAATGATGAAAATGTCTGGGCATGGTGGCTCACACCTGTAATCCCAGCACTTTGGGAACCAAGATGGGAGGATTGCTTGAGTCCAGGAGTTCAAACTCAACCTGGGCAACGTAGTGAAACCTGTCTCTCCAAATATATATATATATATATATATATTTATTTATTTATTTATTTATTTTTGAGACAGGGTCTTGCTCTGTTACCCAGGCTGGAGTGCAGTGGTGCGATCTTGACTCAATGCACTCTCCACCTCCTGGGCTCAAGCGATTCTCTTGCCTCAGCTTCTCGAGTAACTGGGATTACAGGCACCTGCCACCACACTCAGCCAATTTTTGTAATTTTGGTAGAGACAAGGTTTCACCATGTTGGCCAGGATGGTCTTGAACTCCTGACCCCAAGGGATCTGCCTGCCTCGGCCTTCCAAAGTGCTGAGATTACAGGCGTGAGCCACTGTGCCAGGCCAAAAAAAAAAAAAATTAGCTGAGCTACTCAGGAGGCCGAGATGGGAGGATCCCTTGAACCCAGGATTTCGAGACTGCAGTGACCTGTGATTAGGCCACTGCCATCCAGCCTGGACAACACAGCAAGACGCTGTCTCAGGAAAAAAGTTTTAAAAAAGAATGATGAAAATGTAATACGTCATTTAGGAACATGTCCTAATAATGTAATAACATATATATGTAGAATAAGTTCATTTTCATAAAGCAGGCATATAATTGTATAAGAGTACAAAAAAATGGCCAGGCATGGTGGCTCATGCTTGTAATCCCAGCATTTTGGGAGGCCAAGGTGGGTAGATCACCAGAGGTCAGGAGTTTGAGACCAGCTTGGTCAACTTAGTGAAACCTCATCTCTACTGAAAATACAAAAAAATTAGCTCGGTGGGCATGGTGGCAGGCACCTGTAATTCCAGTCACTTGGGAGGCTGAGGTGGGAGAATTGCTTAAACCTGGGAGGCAGAGGATGCAGTGAGCTGAGATCGTGCCACTGGACTTTAACCTGGGTGACAGAGTGAGACTCTGTCTCAAAAGAAAAAAAAAAAAAAAAAAGGTAGAGAAAACCTAGTATCATATATGTAGCATGCAAATTACCAGTGATCATCTTTGTGATTCTATGGGAATATGGGAAATCCTCATTTTCGACATTACATATTTACATGATGCTTGAATTTAAGAGAAAGCCAATACTGATATTTTTTAAATTGTATCACATGATAATTGAGAGCATTTGGGAACTCTTACAGCAGGTTGACATTGCCCAGACTTCCAGAAGTGTCATCAATAGATGGTTCTTGTTGAACCGGGTATCCACCACCTTGGGTTACTGAATTTGCAAGACTAGTTGCATGTAAACTAGTCACATGCAGTAAAACCACGTACCACACCAGGGGCAGTGGCTCAGACCTGTAATCCCAGCACTTTGGGAGGTCGAGGTGGGTGGATCACCTGAGGTCAGGAGTTTGAGACCAGGCTGGCCAACATGGTGAAA